GATCACAATGCGAGGTCGAAACTGCAGTGAGAGAGTGAGTGAGGATGAGAACAACTTTTGGGAAAACAAGGCAATGTGAAATTGAATGGAAACGTCAGCTCTACTCAGATCATTGTGTGTAAATTCTACTACCAGTCCTCGATCACCTTACACGAAATTGGGTGAATACATCTCATATTACTGATTTACTGATGGTCTCGAAAATCTACTCAAACACGAAAAATTAGTCCAGTCTCCGCTTGGTCCGTTACACTGCTCATCCACTAATCCGTTAACAAAATCCTCTTTTCTCAGGTTCTCCATCTGTCCACTTGTCGGATTGCTCGTTTATTTGTTTGTCTGATTCTCCGTTGTCATAAATATAAAGCAAGTGTTAAGCTCACTTCCATTTCGAGTGCAAGTGTTTAGTTGAGACATTCAAGGTTGGACCCATCAGAAAACGACGGCAGTTTCCTCTTGACCAGCTGTCGATTGGCTTTACTGGAACATTCATGCTGACGCTGTTTCCGAGGCAATTTCCTTCGATTCCGGTGAAAAGGTGCTAAGCCTTCGTCCGTCATGTGACGAACATCATCAGAGCAAGGTATTATCGTCACAACAAAGACACTTTGCCCTTTTTAGATGTATTAGTGATCAGAGCAGATGAGAAGTTGAGCGAGGATGTCTATAGAAAGCCAACACACGCTGGCTTAATACTTTACTTTTTCTCCAATCATAGTTACAAAACAAAGGATGGAATTTTAAAATCTATGATTATTCGAAGCATAAGACTAGGTGATAGAGGCCATTGTTACAATGAACTGGATCGGCTTTAAACAATATTTCTTGAGAATAACTATCCCCTTAGGCTTGATTGAAAATAACGTATGATTAATAAAGAATAACTTTTTGAATTGTGAATACGTAAAGAGAGATAAGGAGACCTTTTCTCATGTTTTGTCTTTGTCTTCGTGCATTCTCACTAAAAGGAGAGGTGAATAAGTAAGAAAGTGGGGAACAAAAACGGTCTTCAGGGAAACTAGGACACTTTCTGCAGTTATTCCCACTTTTAGCGAGAAAGTTGACCCATTATCAAGATTGGGTTGCTACAAAATAATGTGTTCATGTGGTCGCTTTTATGTTGGTGCGACTTGTCGTACATTCGACAAAGTGTGGCTGAGCACAGGGCAAAAACGGGACACGATATTGAATAGTCTCAAATTTGTCATTTTGCTGATTCTGTCATGTCTGCGGCTAAACGTAAAATTAGAGAAGCCATCGAAATAAACCGA